AAATTATTTATTATTTAACTTTTGCTTTCCGTGGAAGCTTCTGCCTCTCCCTGGTAAAACGTCTAGTTAATTTAAAGATGATACGGCGCTCTTTGACATTTTCATCCAGGATGTGACCGCATTAAAGGGAATAAAGGGAGAGAGAGTAGCTGACAGGCCTGTTACAGAAAATAAAGTGAAATAAAATTCAGTCTTTTAGTACCGCGTCCAGTCAGCAGCAGGCACAGCACTGTCACGTCGGGTCTTACCGCTGGCGACGCAGCGTAAGCGGTGCAGAAACCATCATTTTGCTGGGCGGAAAATCCGCGTCTTTAGGAGAGGGAGCTGGGCGGAGGACGTGGCCCCTCTCGGGCGACGTGGGCTGGCCGTGGGTAGAGCACCCAAGAGGCCAGGGCTTGCAGGACCACCGTCTGAACCCAACCAAGGTCTTCTCGGTTTCAGCAGAGCGGTGGGAGCGAACGCCCCTCCTGCGCAGCGTGCGGTTGGCTTCTGCGTGGAGCTGTGGGCAGGCGTGGTGTTCACAAGGCCGCGATTTCAGTAAGAACAAAATCCTCGCAGATCTCTGTGGGAAGACACGAGAAGGCATAGCCGGAGCCGCAGCACTGATTTCGGAATATTTTTGTTCTTGTCACTCACAACTTCCATGCAGATTGTGATTATTTTTGTGAAACATCTGGTCCGCAAATCAACCTGTCTCTGGGGTGCGTTGCAGCGCGCCCCTACGCAAAAGCTTTCAGCGCAAGCTGGAATCGCTGTACGGAGGATCACCGCTGAGGATCGTAACGCAAAGCGCGTTTTCATCCGTCCTTCCGAGGAGCGCGTAGCGAGGGAGAGGATTGCCGGGCTTTTGCACTCCGTGGGGTTTTTGGAGCTCCTTTGCCCCTCGGACCGCTCTCCCGCGATGTTATTGAAGTGTCAGGTCTCTGCTAAGGTCCAGCAGCTGTTTGTTCGGGGGGAGCTACGGGGATTTTTGTAGGGCTTTTTGCAAGCCTTAAGGACCCAAAACAAAGCAGAAATCCTGTTTGTAATACTGCCCGCTGGTCCCTAAGGCTGCCCTGAAAAGAGCAATGTGAGGGAATTCATGCTCGCCCTGGTCGGTAGATGTGAAGTAGTCTGGAAAATCAGGAAGAATAAGAGCTCCACAAGCCAGTGATCAGATTGGGTTTTGTTTTCAGTTCAGAAAGCAATTTAAAAAGCAGTATATTGAATAGATAGCTGTACTTATTGATACCTCTTTAAAAGTTAAAAAAAAGAAAAGGTGTATTTTGCCACTATTTTGATGATGTGCTCTTGTAATTCTCTTTACTCTAGCTGTGTCTTTTTAAGCTCCAGTGTATCGCGTGCTTCTGTAAGGCAGCAGCACTGCAGCTCGAGCATTCAAGTTGGTGAGTTTAATTTTGCTGCTGGGGTTTTAATATTCCTCCATCGTGCTCGGTCTGTTTGAGGCTGCGGACTAATTACGGACGAGTTTAAAGGGCCCAGTCCGTCACACTCCGCAAACAGTTTGAAGTTGGAGAGAATCCATTTGAAAACATGAGGAGGCTTAGCGATGGAGCTCGCAGCTCAAGTAAATGTTGCCCAGATGCCTTCATGCGGTAATTTTATCAATACACGTATACAGATACGTGCATGTGCGCGCTCCTGTAGCTGCCTAACGCAGCGGTGAGTGCCTAAAAGTTGGGTGTCGTCCGAGTTTCCTTAGCTGGCAGATAACGCCGTCTGTATCGCAAGACGATGCGCGTTAGTGTCTTCGTTCGAGAGCTGGCCACGCTAAACTCTGTTCTTCTGACCAGTGCTAAAAAGAAATCAAAATTAAGCGAAATGTGCAGCTTCAGAGAGGCCAGTGGTTCCTTTCCTGGATACCTTCTTTAACGGTAAACCAGTCCTCTGGTGAATTTATGTACAGGTAGATACTGAAAGACCATTGCGTTGCTTTACTTCTCCCCACACTGCAAATTTTGTTGTCTTACCGATTAGAATCAGGAAGAGAAGCCTTTATCTTAAGGTGGAAAATACCACGTTGAGCCTCTTTGTGTGCTTTCTACGTCCTCTGCTGTGCCGCACCTTGGCAGACAACCCCTTTTTCAGCACCAGCTTAGATTTTAAACAATGAGCATCAACTTCGTGCGGCCGCTCTTCACACCTACGGCTCAGGACCAGAACGGTGCTTTTTGGTGACGTCAAAGCCTTTTGTTGGCTTTGTTCAACCTTAGTTAAGTCAGAAACGTAGGAAGGACTTTCTTCTTGGTCCGTATTTGAGGAGAAGAGACGATTTTTCTTCTAGCACGTGGGGCAGAAGCCTGATCTCTGGGGTGCTCTATGTCCGGTCTGGCATATAAACGTGGCTAGTCTTGAAAGTGAAGCAGAAGTCAACGGCAGGTGCCTGGAGTTCAGGAAAGCACGTTTAAAGTTAGCCAATCCGTCTGAAAGTTAGAAGTTGTCTTAGCAGCAGCATTGGCGGGCCGGGGGTGTTACTTCCCGTGTAAGGCAGAACAGCGGTGGAGTTTGGGATACGCACGGTTTGACACGAGTTCATTAATTTCATACCAAAGCAACGGTGACAATTTTTCTCTCCTTTGCCATGCAACCGCTGTAGTGGCGTGCCTGTGTCGGGGGGGCATTCCTTGCTTTACCTTAACATGAGCTTATTCCCCTTCGGCGCACTGCGCGTATACAATCCTTCTTCTCAAAGAAGACTCTGGGATTGAAAAGGACTTCCAGAGAGCTCATTCTAAACTTTAACTGGTCTGTGTTTCCTATTGCAACCATCCAAACCATTTGCTAATCATAACTTTGTCATTCCAGCTGCAGCCAACATGTTGTTTGACTTGGATATTTGTTCGCACTTACAACCGCTTGAGAACTTTATTTTTTTTTTTTTGTAACCTGTTGGTCTCTGTCCCCAGACGGGGAAGCGAGATGCACTGTCCAGTTTGCACTGTTTCTTGACTAATATCTCTTCCAGCACGTGAATACAAGTTTGCTTTCAGCAGATTCTCTATTTAGTGTAAAAGCTGACGTAACTTTTTTTGTTTCAGGAAGACAGTAAATTGAGACTATTTATAGATGCCAAGATGCTATCTCAAGAGTTAATACTCAGTTTTGCAATCCTTTCTAAACAACTTTCCCCCCCGCCTTCACCACCATTTTCCCCTTCACCGTTTGCTTGGTTAAAACGAGGCAGCGTTTGGGGATTGCTACCCGAAAACAAAGGAAAGCCCCGCTCTTGCTCTCCTTTTTGCTCTGGACGGCTTCCCTTGCAGCCTCGGCCAGAGCTGCCAGCAGGAGAACAAGCGCTAGCCTCTTTAAGCGTGCGTTAGATTGGATTGCCAAGATGAGAACAGTATAAGTTGGCAGTGGGAACAGGCTAATGACGGCTTGATAATCTGTTATGCAAATCTTGGTGCAGTTTGTTAAATTGTGCAGGGTTTATTTGTTTTGCTTTCATAATTAAAGCATGTAGACCTTGTATGTGTAAGTATTGTGTATTCCTTGTATGATTCCTGTCTTTGCCGGTGCTTCAGAAATTCAGGCCTGGGCTGTCCTCAGCTAAATTGCAAAGGAATGGGTCCTCCTTTTTTTTTTTTTTCCACTGCTGCCTCTGAATATGCAGGAGGACCTCCCATCCGAGGGTTCTCCGGACAGCATGTTAAAGAGGGGAAACGCCAATGTGAATTGTCTGTTGTTGCGACAAAACCCAAGCTCCGGGCCGCTTTGCAGAAACGCGCAGTAGAGCGCTTCTCTACGCTCGCTCGTCTGCTTTTATTCATTTAAACATTGCCTGCATCGAACCGAGGAGAGTTGTGGGAAGCCCTGCCTTTGCTGTGAACGGGCGCACCGAGGCTCTGCTGTCGGCTCAGGAGTATCCGTAGGGATTGGCAGAGGTACAGTTACGTTGTGAGGAGCCAGCCCGCTAAAGCAAGCAAGCAGCAGCGCAGGAACAGGAGGGGAGGGTATGCAGAGCCAGAGGAGAAGCAAATGAGTTTCAATAACTGGAAAAGCCAGTATTTTGGCTAATGGGAATAAGTATGATGTAGACCTATCGGTGCAGAGGAAATAACGTAGGATGCTGTCAGGAAAAGCCTTCAGATTTGGTTCAGTCTTTAAAATTGCCTGTTCCAAACACCTGTGAAGAGATGAAACATCTCTCCGTTGGCAAGGCAGCAACTCCCGACAGATTTCCCGTGGCATGTAACGCATATGGAGTAAAGCCGGCTTCAGCCTAGCGACCAAAAAAAACTCCAATATGTTTTAATTACCGGTAGCTGTTAACCAGTTAACTGTTGCGATAGCGGGACTGGTAATGTCTTACCTGCATTTGCCCGTTCTAGAACAAATGGGGTTTTTTTACACTGAAAGAATCGTGCATCTCCCAGGTGCGCGGATCGGTGTGGCCGAGGCAGAGGGCCACTCGCACCTTCAGAACTGGATGTGCGATTTCTGGGAGTCTCTTCGTTCGTAGCATTTGCTCGCCGCCTCTGAAACGGGCTGGGTTCGGAGGCTGTGCCGCGCCCCGACGTGCTCGGAGGTTCCCTGCGTTGGGCGAAGGAGGAGAAGAGGTGGGAGCGGGTCAGGCCCTGGCCCCTAGCGCTTTGGTGAAGGCAATGTTTGAATGCGTAAAAGCTCTTTTCTGAGTGTTGGCTCTTTGTCCTGGTCTTGAGCTTCTGTTTTGGTCCAAGTAAAGCGTTGGTGTTGGTGTTCTTCCCCCGTCTCCTGTTCCCCTGACTTTGCAACCACCAGTAATTGTTCTGGCAAGGTCCTGGAAAAAGAAAAATTTACTGTTTTCCTCAGGCTCATAGCTTTTGAACTGGAGGCATGTCTTCTAAACAGTGCAACTCACTTCAAATGCTTTTTGCCTTTCATTTTATTATTGCTTGTCACGCAATGTTCTTTGAAAGCTTGCTCATATATTATCTGTTCCATTTTTTCCATTTTCCCTTTTTTTGCATGCTGTTCCTCCTGTTTCTTCCCTTCCTCCAATCCTCTGTTCCCGTGTGTAGACACAACGGCGACGACAGAACCGGCAGTTCACGGTTGGTATCACATTCCTGTTTATCTTATTTCTCAGCCCTGCTGAGTGGCAAGACAAGCCTGGGAAGGGGAAGCAAAAAAGGGAAATGGTAGTCTTCAAGGGAAAACCGTGTTTCAGGTGGACTGATCTCCTAAATATAACGTGGATTTTAAGGCTGGAAAGTCTGTCTGGTCTCGTCAGTTCTGCCATGAGCTTCGCAGCCGGTCGTTCCGGTGCCAGGCAAGCACCGAGCCCCCATGCCCCGTGGAAACGGCGTACGTGTACGAGCGGTGCTGAGGAAGCGAGCGATTCTCCCGGTCATCTTGGTGACTGGGGTAGTCGCTTCACGCATGAAAAAGAAATCTGGCTTTTGAAAACAGGAGCTCAAATTTAATTTTTTAAGAGGTGCTTGAAATCTTGAGCCTTTTTCTTGCATTTTGAGCTTACAAAGACGGCGTGTCCGGTGGGTCGGCCGGCGCGGGGCAGCCTTTAGTGTGCTGCGGATGCTTGGCAGAGGAGCGCTTGTTTCGGAGGTCAGCAGTGAAGCTTGCATCATTACGCTGCAGAAGGAGATTTGGAAAACAAATAGCAACACTTCCCTGTCAGCATAGCAGTCTAGCAAACTAACCCTTCTCATCTGCTCAAGGCAGGCTAGCTAACAGCTTGACAGCTTCCTTAGCTTCCTACATTTTCAAAGCCAGCCTAGAGTCACTTCAGACTGGAAGTTGAGCATAGCATTTTTTGGCACGAGCTCGCTTTTCAGCTAAAGAACCAAAACCTCTGACAATTTTAATTAAGGCTAATCCATATTTGAGTTTGCTACTTTAGTTTCTTCTAACTCTGATAAATCAGCCGTTTCCTTTATTGACAGAAGTCTGTAGTGCAGAACGGGCTCTTTTCCCTGCCTACGCCCAACGAGGCGTGTCTGGGGCGATGGCAGAGGGAGGACGGCGTAGAGCGATGGTTAAGCAGCGATGCCCCACGTCAAGTGGAGGGACACGCAGTTCTTGTCCCAATTGCCTACTTGGACGCGTTTTCCCGCTTGACATCAAAATTGGAAGCCTTCAGGCATCCTTCTGTTTTCTATGCGTTGCCAATCTCCCTATGTACGTTTAATGTCAAGATTCAACGTCGGTAATTTTGTAGCTCCTGCAGTGAAAGTCACGGCAAGGCAATAAAAGTCCAAGCGACGTCTCATCCAGCACTATGCTAACGCCCTTGAAAGTCAGATGAAGGCAAAATGTTAATCATCCGATCGTTAAGCTGTGGGGAAGGCCTTGAAGAGCTGCCTCTGAAGACAGTAGCACAGTTTAATTACCTGCAGGTCTGCTCAGTTGCACCCGCTTGGGCGGTAAGGGTCCGACTGCTCCTTTGATGTACCGGCTTCGCTTTCTTAGAAGTGTCTGAGAGCAGTCGGGAAAGTCGGGAGAGACCCCGGGCTCAGCCTGAAGGGAAGGCGGGCTCCGTGCCCCTTGCACTCCCTAGCCCCACGACTCTGGTCGCAGCGAGTGCTCTGTGCGGGGCCGGCGCGGTCGCAAGGGATCCCGCCTTAGCAGCGCGCCGAGGCAGAGCACGGGGAGAGCGGTCAGCGCAGGCTCTTCAGCGCTGCTCCAGGTCGGCCAAGATGCTCTGCCTTGAGTACGAGAATTTGCTGAGAAAAGGCAGATGCATTCAGGCCAAAGAGCGGTGGCCTGCAGTGTCAGAAAATAGTACCTTTTTTCCATTTTTCTCAGGCAACCCTAGAAATCGTAGCATCGTTTAGGTTGGAAAAGCTCTTTAAGATCATCCAGTCCAACCATTAACCTACACTACAAAGTCCACCGCTAAAACAATTAAGGGGAGAGTCATAATTTCATGTTTCCTGGCTTGGTGGCTGGATTATTTATAATGAAAGTAAAAACAAGGAATCATTAAGGTTGGAAGGGACCTCTAAGATCATCGTGCACAGCAAATGCACAGGTACAGACATTGATCCCTAAATTTGGGAAAGATCAGGCAGCCCTGACGCTAGCGTGACTTCTGATGTCGCTTCTAGACGTCTCGGCGAGCCTTTTCTGACCCGCAGCTTGCATTCATCTCCGGCGTCGCCGAAGGCAGAGCCGCGAGGCTGCGGCGCAGGGTGGGCGATGCAGGAGGGGGCTTGCAGCCGAGCAGCCCTTGCCCATTTCTTCGGTGCAATTCCCGATGGCTTTCATCGTTCTTGCTCGTGTTGGGGAAAGCCGCAGAAAGCATGTTTTTTAACTCGGCGAGGACCTCTGAATATTTCTACCTCTGGGGGGGAGGACGGCTGCTGCGAGGAGACAGACTGACCGCTGGAAGGACAAGCGATCCCAGTCAACTGAGCTGCCACAGACTTTCCTGCCTTAAAATCCAGCCGGTTTGTACCGCCCCCCCCCCCCCAATGCCCTCGTGGGGTGCTTTTCCCGTGAAGACTCTGGGATTTCTTTCCAAGCTTGTGTTGCTGGAGTGTGTATGGAGTATACCAGGTGTTTCTGTATGTTGGCCATTTGTTCTTACCGATGTCCAATGGGAGTGAGCATGTCTGTGAATGACTAGAAATGCATGGGCATGAACTACAGCCAAATGGATTTTCTCCAAAAACGATTTTAAATGAATTGGGGGAAGAAAAAATGTAACAACCAAAAAAAAAAAAAAAAGCAAAACCAACCCAAAAAAAGAAAACTCAATGTAAGGCTAGTGTGGAACCAGCACAATACTTCAATCGGGGAAAGGGTTTTTGAGTAATTTAATTTTTTGGAGTGTATCCTAGAGGACTGGGGGGGAAAGGAGTCCTGTATGTGTGTGCAGAGAGCAAAGCCCCTGCCATTCCTGTTTCCTTCTGGAATGGAGTTGACGGCAGCGATGCATGAGTGACTTAAAGCACGAACATTGTTAACTTTTTTTTGTTGAAAAATGAGAGCTTAACTTGTAAATTTTCTGATGCACTTTCTCCTTTCTCTGCACTGTTCATTGCCAGAACTCCAATAACAGCATGGTCATGGCCGGCAGGAAGGCTCGTGCTTCTGCTGCACCGCGCTAAGCCGGGTTTACCGAGCTTGCGCCCTCCTTCCCTCTCACTTTGCCCTGCGTGGTGCCAGGGTGCCGGCGGGGCTGAAACCGCAGTCCCCTGCCTGTTTGCAGCTGGCACGCGGGCAGGCCTCGGCGGAGCCGGAGAGTAACGCCTCC